GTTGTGTATGCAGTAGCCTTCAAGCAAGCTCTTCATTCTCAACATTCTGAGGGAAGAGCGAAGCATGTCGAGAGAGAATGTGCGAGTGAGAGAGACGGGAGAAAGAGATACTGGCAACGGATCTAACAAGAGTGCAAGCAACGCAGCCGACAACGCTCACAGAAGACCGCTTTCTCTGACTGTGAGAGATTAAGCACTGCCTACTCTGCGGGTTTTTTCAAAGGATCAATTTAGAGACCTTAATCCCGCGCGTTGGAACTAAAGACCTATTTAAAGCGTCAAAGCAGAAGATACTCGTGTAGAAGTTATCAGTAAACTATTATGATAATAAACTACCGCGCTTGTATGAGCGAAAATGAAGAATTTTTATATGTAAGCGCATACGTAGCCCGGGGGGGTACTGCCATATATGGGCTATATAGGTATGTGCCGCTGTGAAGGGTATGGTTTTCAAGCAGTTTACTCTAGGATAGGGTATATAAATCAGATCGTTTGGGTCTAGAATGCTAGAATAGGGTATCATTTTTCAGGAAACTTGATCATTTGGTTGAAGATTTTATCTAGACTAGGTAAACAGCTACTCTAGGATAGGGGGATTTGGGGAGTTTACTCTAGTATAGGGTAGCAAAATTCAGCTGACCTAGCTCTGGTATAGGTTAAGGGTTCCAGGGTCCCAGCGGCACATCTCCACCCAGAAATTCCTAAAGTACCCCCCCCCCGGGATACGTAGTCTCCTTCGCAGCCGTTATTAGGGTCGTCACTCGTCACGCAACGCTCCTCGAGTGACGACCCTAATAACGGCTGCGAAGGAGACTAGCGGATACGTGGAAGTTCGGTCTCCTTAAGAGGGAGAGAGTTTTGGGGTCTAAAAGTGACACAGCGGTCTTGACTTTACTTTTCGCTTTCTCTCCTCCCCTTATGTTTTTTTGTTTGTTTTTTTTTTTTCGCTTTTCTTGCCTCATTTTTTGTTCTCTTGCTGGGCATTAAGTAGACTTCAATTTGGTGAGAAACGTTTGTAGAAAACCTTTTAGGATCTTAGGATGAGATGAAAGGAAAAGCAGGTGAGTAGTGGAACAAGATTTTCATGGAAATTTTCAGGTCAATCTTACAAGGTTTTTGGTAGGAAAGACGTGGACCCGGACACACAAGCGGTTACGGGCGGCTCAGGGACGAACAGGTTAAGAATGCTGTTTTAGGGTTAGGGTTAGGGTTAGGATTGACACAAACCCTAACCCTAAACTGCATGTACGTTTTTTTCTTTGGCTTATAAACAATGCTAAAGCGTAATTAAAAATAATTACCATAATTAAATATCTTGCTTGGAATTCCGGTCGGGACGCCTTCGGGGGTTTCAAAATTTGACTTTTTCGACAATTTTGTGTCCAAGAATTCAGCGCAGATTCAAAACTTCACGAGCTGGCACTGTAGAGGGGTAAACTTGGTAGACTGTACTGTGTTATGTATTGAGCGGAATTCAAAAAGAGTGCTTTCACTATAAAAGGTATAAGGCGTTAATTCCAGGGATAACAGATTTTTAAGTGCTGTCTCATCAGTGTCTTATCAGACGAGCATATAACCTAGGTTGTCAGTCGAGCCTCGCGAGCAATCTTCCTTTGATCAAAAATAAAATACAAACAGCGGTGATAAACATTGTGAGCTTTCGCTTCCTTTGGTTCTATATGGGCCCTGTTTTCTTTTCACGCTCAACAAAATTATTCATAACATCCAAACCATTAAAAACCATGGGTAGGTTTAAAACAAAGGAGCTCTTTCGTGATGATCTACGTATAACACACTGCCAAAAAAATCTGGTAATCCGCTTCGGTAGACAAGTCATCCATTCAATGAAAAAAATTGAAAAATAAAACCGTTTCAAGGCATGAATGATAATGTTTGAATATTTGCGTAAGTCTCATTATCACTTTACGGATATTTTTAAGAAATATATAAATATTCATTTACTGAGGAATTAAAACTTTTCGGACAAATTAGCATTGAAACTAATACATCCTTTTGTTGTGACTCTAAGAGATTATTGGACTAAATTAAGACACCAGATCTTGACCAGATATTTGGCTATGTCTACCAAGAGAGAATATTCAGTCTTGTGTCTACACTTTACAGAATAGCTTTTCCTGACGACATGAAAAGCTATCCGTTATGAACTCTTAACACCAACAAGTCACATTTTATGTTAGTAGGCAGCCACGCAACGCTTAGTACACTTGACTCCATTACTATTTCTGTTGACAATAAACATCTTGACGAAGTTCAGTCATTTCCATACCTAGGATTAGTTGTTGATAAGAACCTTACGTGGGATGGACACGTTGAATATATGCGCCGTAAAAAAAACAATCAAGAAACCAGGTCTTTTACAGCGTTTTTAAATACTGTCTGCCACTAAGTGCTAAGATTATGTTCTTCAACTTTTTTATTGTACCCTTTTTCGACTACGGTGATGTAATTTGGGGAGACAGCTAGGCGACTCTTTTTTCTTTCCCGGCTGCCGCTCTCGTTTCTCGCGTCTCACGGCTTCGCCGCTCGACGCTCGCGTGCGCGTACACTCCTTTCACTAAATATGAAGAAAACTAGAGACTGCTCGCAGTCTACTCCCTTACGGCACTCTGAAACATAATTTACCACAGATCTACAAGAGCATAAACCTGTCTCCTAATATACTGTCTCGATTTTCAAAGCGCTTTGTTGTTGTTGTGCCGTTGTTATTTTTTTTAGTGCCTTTTTCGCTCAGCAAAATATTCATAACATAGAAACCATAAGGCAAATGACAATTTTTCATCACGAAGCTGACTGTAGAACACACGGCCAAAAAACATTTGTTTCCGTAGCCAAGTCATCCATTTGATCAAAAAATAAAAACAATCGTTTTAATGCATGAGTGATTTTTAACATATGTTTGAATATCCGTGCCAGCGTTCGTTTTCAGCTGCCTCAAATCATAACTGTGTTAACGTCGCCTGTATAGATGTGTGAAAATCGATACTAAGCCCGGGAGAGCTTGTATTTAGGAAAAACATAACTAGATTTTATATTTGAATTAAGACACCGGATAAGAAACTTTTCAGACAAATTAACATTGAAATAAAAGCCTTTGTTTTATCTAAGAGACGATTGGTTTAAATTAATGACGCCGTCTTTTGCTAATGACAACGACCTCCGAACCAGCGCCCTGCCAACAAACAGTTCATTTTATCAGCGAATATTTGAGCAAGCCTCCAATTTTTCCAGTTCCAGCACTGAAGATGAACCTCCTTGTGTTTAGCGCAGCTTTTACGATGATTGTGACAATCCATGGAGGTGAGTTATTAACTACCGAAGGCTTTTGAAAGCACATACGCAAGTCCAGAAGGTCCAGTACTTACATGTACGAGGCAGTATGCATCTTTGGTGCAGTTTGGTGACGAAGTACCGGCTTTTAGGATTCAAATCTCAAATCTCGAAGCCATTAGAATTTTACAAACTCAGAAACTCGCATTTGCAAGAACATTCGCCACTTAAGGTCTCAGTTACAACGCTTAGTTTTTAATATGCGCCGTGCACCCTTAAAGGAACAGTATCCCGTTACTGCGCATGCACCAAACTTTGATTTTTGGACAGGATGTCGCGAAATCAAAAGATGCGAGGAGAGTAAGAGAACCTTGAAAAATCCCTTTGCATCGCGCTTAGCCGGGTTCAATACGACAATTAAACTTCTCAGGATTACAGATCAGTGATATATTGTTCCGGTTAAGTTTCGATTTGGGCAAAATCTGGATTTTATGGCGTTACTTTTATTGCCGTTGGCCGGAGGACCAAAAGATTGGAAGCACTTTGATGCCGATTGAAGGCTTATTTCTTCTGCTAGCTTCCATACAAGGTCAGATAATTGTGAAAGGGAAACGCAGAAATAAAACAGCAACAATAGAGACTGTAACTGGGAAAGAAACCATTGATACATGGATGTGACTGAGGAGATCTTGTGGAGGGGAGCTTCGCGAAGAAGAATGTTTTGCAACGAAGCGTTAGTAAACTTTTAAATGAATCTCCCTACGGCCCACAAAATCGAACAAACAGGCGCTACATGTTTAGAATAACTAGTGCCCTGAAATCATAATATAATTTTTATTAACCTTTGTGATGATTCATAGCGTTGAGATTGCATTTTGTCTTCAACGTTTGAGGCTAGAACGCGAGAAATCAGGCAGATATTACCGGACTTAATTGGCACAATTGACCTCTGACACGAGTTTCAAATTTGAAAATACGTTTTTAAAGCGAGCGAAACGAGATTTTCGGGTCGCGAGGCGGCCCAGCTAGCGATAAAATCGCGATGAGTCTTCGAACCGCGAGCCAAATATTTATATAGGACGAAAGACTTCTTCGATCGCGAAAGTCTAAAATATTACTTGAGAACATGAACAACAAAGCCCCGTCGGCGGTGCGATCCGGAAGGAAATCTTGTCGAGTCAATATGACAGCTCCATTGTCTTTTGAAGAAAAAACAGATGACGCTCGCGCGTGCGCATAATCGGGACACTGTCCCTTTAAGTAAATTGGTTCGGATGTTGCTTTAGGCTCGTTTAGGTGAGTGGCGACATGGAATTTCCAGTTCAATTATTTTGTTATATTATTACATCATACCTAAACGACTCCAATCTAAATTCCCAATTTATAGTTCTTTACTCCACTATGACGTCTAGGATTCAAACTCCATGAAGTAGCTGTGTGATTTAAATAAAATAAATTTTAAGAAAAGCGATTTAGCCTGTGCGAAAGCCGGTTGTATGCAGCTGCAAAGGACCAGAGCAAAGAAAACTCACGTATTGGAAGACTGGTTAGCTACTTTAGCTCGTCTAAATGTGTTTTAAACATTTGGTATTATGCAGTTAAGCCGTACCTGACCAGCCCTTGTTGTTGTCTCATCGGATCAGTCTTATGTTGTACGCGAAACTGTGTTCGGTGAAGAGTGGTTTGGTTTCTTACTTCCTTGCGACTCATTCCGTCTGCGGTGTTTAGATCATGGCAAAATTTGCAATATATTCACACTGTAGTTATAAGAAAAATTTAGCCGTTAAGTCACTTTGTATTATTATTGAAGAAAAATTTAGCCATTAATTAACGGCTAAATTTTACTCTTTACTAACCAACAGTGTGAATTTATTGCAAATTTTGCATTTATATATACACCCTTCCGTCTGGTACCGTCTCGTGGTCTAACATCGTTCCGTGTTCACCACAATCTCGCCTGCGTCGCGGCAGCCGTTGCACTCGAGACCTAGATAGAGATCAACAGAGAACTCCACACAATTACAAAAATCTCAATAAACTTCAATTTTTTCATAACACGAACTGACAACATTGATAAACGAACGGGGCCAAATTTAACCACTGGAGTTATACAATGCATAGTATTCTAAGAGATTTTTTACATAAGTATCTGCAGACGCGTACAAGTGGATTAGTCACTGAAACCGATGTTATTTTCTGTATTCTCTATATGGGAACCTAGCTAAAGGAACTAAAATTTTGTTGCCGCAATTTGATTTTCCGCTTTCTGATCAGAAAGTTTTTCTTAGACTTTTGAAAAGTCCTTTGTCTGATTTTAATTAATATATGGCGCGGACGACCTCTCGCGACTTCGCAGTCTAAAAAAGCTCGCTCCTCTCTCTTAGAAACTGGTGAAAGGTCGAGCGGACTGGCTGGCATCCTTTAGACGGTCTCCTTTGTAGTAGCCTGCGAGCAAGCTCTCCTATTTGGGCAACCGAAGCGAGCCTCGCGAGAACGCGCGAGCGAGGGGCCGAGGAAAGGAGAGCTTGCAACAATCTCTCATAAATTTTCATTTCCACCCCGGAAATCCCGGGACTCCGCAAAGCGTGAAAACTGTCACCGCAAACGTGCCGCAGATTAGAAAAGTGACAACCGCCTGTCAAGTAAGTTTAGACAGCCGAGGGCGCGTAGAATTATTTATTTATAAATCGCTTTCGCAACAGCATCAAAGCAATGTTTTTAATTACTTATATGTTTTTTTTTTTTCACGGGGACATCGAACTTCAACGTGTCAGCTCGGATAAGAACTCACTACTTTGATTCCCGTTTCGTTTACTTTTGAAAAGTCGTCCATCGTTCATACTGCAGTGTAGAAGACTACTCCCCATCGCAATCACCAACATTCCACAAAAACATCATATATTTGTCCGTCTGGAACTGGAGAATAGCGTTTTCCTGCACTTGGTTCTCTTAAGGTTTACTCCAGTTGCTTCCAACTCTTTCCCTTTTCCTTCTTTACGATCAAGCTACACAGCTACACTGTCAAGTACAGGTTTGTGAATTTTTCTCCCCAGTAGAATTCAATCGGGCGAAGAAACCGATCCTGGAAGACTGCGCTTTAATCACTCTTCACTTCACTCTCCCGGTTTTCAGAACTAAACAAGGCGCTTTAACTCGCCCAAATAGGAGAGCTTGCTCGCAGGGTACCTTTGCAGCCGTTCGGGGATAAGAGCATTGCGTGTCTCTAGCCCGAGAGGTTGCGAAGGAGACCATTAGATAACCGAAACGCGGTTGAATAAATTTCGTGCGTCATTAACTGCCAGCAAGATTTGGAAAATTCAAGATCTTGCCGGCAAAATTTGAAATATTCATAGACCTTGCAGGCAAGATTAAGAAAATTCCAAATCTTGCCGACAAGATTTGGAAAATTCAATATCTTAATGCCGGCAACATTTGGAAAATTCAAGATCTTGCGGCTCCAACTCACCACTCGCTAACTCGCTGCAGTAACTCACGACGGATAACTCACCCGCAACTTGCCGGTCCCGTGGGTACCACCAACAAACTGAGTAAAATTTAGAAATTGCTTCTCAAAGCATGAAAAGAAGGAAGAAATAAGGCAGCAAATCGAAAAAAAGGCTCGCATCGGATGGACCAACTTGAAGAAGGTTAAAACGAATTGCAATTGCGCTTTTGCAAACTTGTTCGCCTGACAGTTTTTCAAAGTTAATTTTTTGTCTCCGGTGCTTTGGGAAAGATATTTGTTTGATACAAAGCTGTGATTTTGTTATTCACTTACGAGTAAATTCCTCGCTTACACTGCTGAGCTCCTTGGCGAATAAACTTCCGCGGTTATTAGCATTCTAATATTGAACCAGTTTACTTCTAGACAGGCGTGGCATAGCCGCATTTACGTAGTGAGCCTTTAGTACTCGGCTGTCGCCCAATTCGCTCGCCTTCTTCTTCTGCTTCACATTTCACAGAATTCTCACTGGTCGAGTGAGAACAACTGTTTTAAAAGCTGTAATTTTATATTTTGATTGCTTTTTCTTTTCGTTCCAGCTTTGGCCTTAAGATGCCACCAGTGTATGCCAGACCAGAACACGGTTGTTAGTTCCCTGCAACGACAAGGAAACAACTCGAAAAGCTTGAGCTTTTGTGCCGAGCCCAGTGCCACTTTTGATTGCAGTCAAGATCCATTGATAGGAAACATGGCCGATTCCTGTTATACAGCCCGTGTCACCTTAAACACATCTCTTCTAATTGGTGACATCGAAATGTATGTCCTCAATTGTTCCGTAATGTCATTTTGTAACTCAATGAAGGCTGATCTATGCGGCATGCTGGAAAATATATTTGGAGAGATACCAATGATGGATATTAAAAATTGTGACGTCACATGCTGCCAGGGGGACCTCTGCAATAATCCATCCTCACCGTCATCCGCTAATACAACTCAGGCTCCTGCCGGTGGTGGCCCAACGGTAAAGTCGTCGGTGAAGAGCAGTGTTCCACCAGCAACCACTCTGTTTGGAGTTCTGGTTTTGATGGCTGTAACTTTTGTAAGGTTTTAGAGAAGTGGACAATCTGTCGAGTGACAGAGTGAGGGACGATATTTTCTGTCATCACCATTTTATCTTTTTGTTTCTAACTCGGCACAAGTGGAAGATGCTAAGAAATCCAGTGAGAAACATGCATGACCGTTTTTATTATAATTTCTTGAGATTGTGTCATTATGTTTTTATCTTTTTTACTAACTCAGCACAAGTGGAGGATGTTTAAGAAATCGAAAGGGAAACATGACAGTTTTAATACGTTTTTGATGAATACTTTCTGTTATTTCGTGTTTATCTTATTTACCAACTCAGAACAAGTGGAAGATGTTTAAGTTTTCGTTGAGACTTTCTGTTTTTACATTTTTATCATTCTTTTTTAACTATATTAACTATACAACTGGTAAATGTTTATAAGAAATCGAATGTTAAACGTGACAGTAACTTTGCAATAACTGGTCAGTCCAGATTCAGATTGACAGTTCAGTGGACATCGAAACCTTCGCGCGGGGACGATTCAAAAAATTGCCATGGACTAGTTTCTCTACCCTCGTACCGTAACATACAAACTCAAACGCTGAAGTCATTGAAAACTCTTCACTTTTAAATCGACAGTTATTAAAAACGAACAAAAAAAGTTAGTAACCTATGTGACCGTAAAAAAATACTAATTGATAGAATTTCAAAGTTCACGCCAGTTTTGTCTATTAATTAGTCTCAATATCAGATAGGTGGCTACTTTCTACCTCCTAATTAAAGCCGCATTTTACCTTTTAGTTTTTACTTCAATGTCACGGTTCGCTTCTCTAAACAAGTAAAAATAAATAACAGTTGAGCGTATTTAATTATCACTATCAGGGTAGCTGTATTTTCAGAGAACAAGCTCAACAGATTCCGTCAGAACAAAATTATTTTCAGATTTTGCGTTTTGGAAGGGAATTACGCTTTGAAGAATAAAGCACTCACCTTGAACGTGTGGTTTCAGCGGTCAATAAGCAATGAGCGTGATCACAAAATAAAGGTAACAACTTCGGATAAACTTCAGGCCTCAGTCGTTCAGGTTAGATAGTGCTATCCACCGGATAATTAAATCACGGGGGCACCCAACGACTGTTTTCCGTAAAATATCTGTTCGGAGAAGCAAATATTGCCTAGAATTTCTATTACATGTCAAGGACGGCTAAAAATTTCTTGACGACCGCTCCATTCATGTACAATTTTCGAAGCTCAACTAATAAATTCCCTACGACTTTCGGGAGTTTAATTTTTCACATTTCACTTCCCAGGTTAGGCTATTTTTCGTAGAAAAAAGGAAACCTAAAATTTTCGGATTCAAAAAGGTGATGGAAAGGGGACTCAGAAAAATTCTCTCCTTCGTAATATGTTAAATTGCACCTAATATTTTCGGGAAAATAGTACCGAAGCCCTAGTACAATTTCGAAAGTACTCAAGTTCCCCTAGGATGACCGAACAGATACAAATTTTATAGCGCCGCTTAGAATGCATTTCTAGATATCTGAAAGTACTATTGATAGCCTAAAAAGTGTTTTCACTGTGTTTAGGAGGAAACCGTTGTTGGGTCCTCCTGAAATCGCTATCCAGCGGATAAGTATTATAGAAACAATTTGCTTTATCTACTGGATAGAGATCAGTTCACCCTGCGGATAGCACTATCTACTTTTTCAACAGCTGGGGCCTGTACTACAAACTAAAACTTTCGATTCCCATTTTGGCTCGCGCCACATAAAATTTCGCCTATTTTAAATTCTTTAATTTGTGCGTCAGTATGGTGGAAAACATATTTCCCGAAAACTAATATATCCAAATTTTCTGAGCGTGCCTCTAATTTTCCTGGTTTTTCTCTCGCCGTTTGGGAACATATACATCGGGAAGCAGGAAATGAAGCAGGCAGAATAAGCCATTCTGAAGTTCCAGGCCCATTGTCCCCCCGCGGAGGGCAAAGGAAATTCCGAGGGTATTGGGTCAAAAAAGTTGACAATTTCACTTTCATTTTTCCGATTCCTTATAAAACTACAAAAAGAAAAAGGCATAAGACAAAGGAAAAGTCCACTGATTCGGAACTACGAGGATTCCCTCATTTTCCTTAGAACAAGCTCTTGTTCTTGTTATCAGCTTTTCAACCCATAAAAATGCCCCTGTTTCGATTACTTGCTGCGCCT